AAACAAAACCGCGTTTCCGCCATTCATACATACAGAGGCAAGCGGAACATGCAGGATTCATATTTAAACCGTCTTTTTGCATTTTAATATTCACAGACACTAGTTCATATCGCGATTCGAATTAAGTGGCAGTGGCTACTTTTGATTTATTCGTCCAAAAATTGACGAATTCCGTGGCATTTCACGCTATAGAGTAAATTACGTTTTTATAAATGGACTCCGTGATCCCGTCCGCGTTTTCGCAGAAACCATATGTCCCTAGAAATGTAACCACACTTCACAACATTTCGGCTTGCCCTGTGTGTTGTTTGAACGAGTTGCATGGGTGACATCACGTCACAGGGTCTCTCTTTGTACTCTGTAGTACCGACGCAATTCGGTTGGTACCCTTAAAAGTACAGAGTTCGGTACCCAATCCTAGTGACCACACCTTTAGACTTTACATTAAAGGAGACATCTGAGCCATATCTAGAGACCAAAATATCATAGTCTTTGAGGGCAGGCAATTTTTTTATATGGGACAGAGAGCTTCCTTCTAGAAGACCCATGCAACAATAAAACACACTAACAACCATGCAAAACACATCAAAACTCCCTAGCAACTATATGATGACATCTAAGGTTTGAACTACTCACATTTTCTTCAAAAATATCACATGCAACATACATGGACTGTTTTGGATCAGGTACTCTGTAGTACCGACGCAATTCGGTTGGTACCCTTAAAAGTACAGAGTTCGGTACCCAATCCTAGTGACCACACCTTTAGACTTTACATTAAAGGAGACATCTGAGCCATATCTAGAGACCAAAATATCATAGTCTTTGAGGGCAGGCAATTTTTTTATATGGGACAGAGAGCTTCCTTCTAGAAGACCCATGCAACAATAAAACACACTAACAACCATGCAAAACACATCAAAACTCCCTAGCAACTATATGATGACATCTAAGGTTTGAACTACTCACATTTTCTTCAAAAACATACATGGACTGTTTTGGATCAAGAAGTATAGCAGGAAGATTGCACTCTGTAATCAAATGCAGACAGACATGCATCGCTTACTCATTTACCATTATTACCCTGTGCTCTGATAACTTTATCACTCTGATTTCACATTTAGCCCTGTGCCGTTTCAGCAATCCTCTCAGATGTTCACTGTGTGGTTTGTTCTCATGATGTGTGTGTCTGTGTTTCTAATGAGCTGTGGATTGCTCAGCACTCTGGGGGTCAGTGAGTTTTTTGGCTGGCTGTCTGGTTGCATGCTTCACACAGCCCTGCCTCCAAACCCTGGATGAATGAATCCCACTTACAGTCCTCTAAGCCAACAATCAGTGTGTCTTTCAATACAAAATTCACTATAAAAAAACAGAGTTTGCCTTCCGTTTATAACCATTTGTTAGTACAATTCCCAGAGCCATATATAATTTCGACTTCATGCTTTTCCATGGATGCGATACGCCCCTCTGTAATCAAATGCAGACAGACATGCATCGCTTACTCATTTACCATTATTACCCTGTGCTCTGATAACTTTATCACTCTGATTTCACATTTAGCCCTGTGCCGTTTCAGCAATCCTCTCAGATGTTCACTGTGTGGTTTGTTCTCATGATGTGTGTGTCTGTGTTTCTAATGAGCTGTGGATTGCTCAGCACTCTGGGGGTCAGTGAGTTTTTTGGCTGGCTGTCTGGTTGCATGCTTCACACAGCCCTGCCTCCAAACCCTGGATGAATGAATCCCACTTACAGTCCTCTAAGCCAACAATCAGTGTGTCTTTCAATACAAAATTCACTATAAAAAAACAGCGTTTGCTTTCCGTTTATAACCATTTGTTAATACAATTCCCAGAGCCATATATCATTTCGACTTCATGCTTTTCCATGGATGCGATACGCCCACAGGCTGTTGATCTGTGTCCAGGTCCATGTCAGCAGCGGTTTAAAGCACACCCTGCCCTGCAGCACACCTTACCCGACTAGATGATGTTAGTTCAATGTTTGACGCAGATACTGAGATTGCAGGAGCAGATTGGAACAGGAGAGAGTGTTATAAAGATTGAAAAGATGCAGATGCACATAGATTTTCAGCATTCTGTGAAAAAAGCCCAATTGGATACTTAAAATGATTTGTAAGCATTCAGTAAGGTGACAATAAAATCTTTGATAGTAGTCAACTTAAAAATAAGACAAGTTAACAAATATTCGCTTGCAATAAAAGTCCAATAAACTTAATTGTAAGTGCATTTATTTATTTATTTATTGTTTCCAAAGAACTCTTTCCAATATTGATATTAAATCAGCATATTAGAACGATTTCTGAAGGATCATGTGACACTGAAGACTGGAGTAATGATGCTGAAAATTCAACTTTGATCACAGCAATAAATTACATTTTAAATGAATGATGATTTCAAATCGCAATAATATTTCACAATATTATGTTTTTTTCTGTATTTCTGATCAAACAAATTCAGCCATAATGAGCAGAAGAGACTTCTTTAAAAAACATTACAAATCTTACTGATCCCAAACTTTTGAACGCCTGTGTGTGTGTGTGTGTGTGTGTATATATATATATATATATATATATATATATATATAATTGTTATTCATTTATGGTTGCTGAACATCTTTAAACTCCATAGCTTGACCTCTAAGTATAAACATGATCTTGGAGAATGTATTATTCTCAGTTTATATACTGGCTCTGATTTTATGTGAAACTGAGGATTGAAGTCTAACATTGCTCTAAAACTGCCAGTAAATGTGGATTAGCAGTAACTACTTGTTCAGTAAATGTCTTTGTGGGCCGTTTATTTGCCCTGGGGAGTCACTTGTGCGCAGTCTTAAAAAGAAAAGTTGTGGTTGTGACCAGTCTGTCTGATGTTTTCCTGCAAAGACCAGTGAGTGCTCAGATAGGTTTATGTGCAAAGCTTAAATGTGCTTAATCCATGGGTAATAATGTTAGTAATACTGTGTCTGTGTGTGTGTGTTGTCTGCAGGAGCATGCATAAGCTCACACAGCTGGAGCGCCTGGATCTGGGCAGTAATGAGTTCACTGAAGTGGTGAGTAGCACCTGCCTGTCTTTCAGGTGTCTCATGCATTACTGCATCCTGCGTTCACCTTCCAGCTCTCAATGCAGCCAGGTGTCAGATGTTTGACAGTCAATGCAGATGCGCTCATTGAGTCTTTCTCTGTTAGACTGCACCTAATGTGCATTTTTCTCCTCTAATGCTATTCATTGAAAGTAGTGGCAGATTTCCTCACACTGAGGATGTGAAATTTAATTTTGCTTTCTTTCTCTCCAGCCTGAAGTGTTGGAGCAGCTTACAGGAATCAGAGAGCTGTGGATGGATGGAAATAAGCTGACGTTTTTACCGGGGGTGAGTCTTGCACTCATTCTTTGTGCTTTCTTGCCCTTTTCTTTTTTCATTTAAAAAAGCAAAAGTGCATCATGACAAATAAGTTGTTTTTATTTTTTTAGATTATTTTTTATTGCTTATTTGACCTCATTCGTGAAACATGAGTTGAATGTGTATAATGCTTAAAAGAATTAATTTTTGTGTAAGTATTTTAGCTTAAATTGATGTTCATGTTTAGTGTACAACTCTACTATGTAGGGGTGCTCCGATCAGGATTTTTGTGGCCGATCGCCGATCACAGAAAGCAGTAGCTGCCGATACGATCACCAATACCGATCTTTTTAAAACCTTTTTTTTATCATTTATAACTATTTATAGTGATGCTCCAATCAGGATTTTTAGACATTTATTCAGGGCCTGAATTTCGTTTTTGAAAATGGGGGGAATTCCCCTCTTAGGTGACTCTTGTGAGAGGGGAAACAGCACAGACTGTGCTTTCACACAGGAGTCTGCTACTGATCCGTGGCTGATTACCACAAACACAACATTTATCCATTATTTTGATTTCAAATCCAAACATTGTCTCTGAAAATGCTTTTTCAGCATTGCAATTCTTTTTTTTACACAGTACAGTAATACAATCTTTCACAGACATGTTTAAACACAATAAATATAAGCACATTATTGTGCTTTTTATATTTTTTTTATAGATTTATATATTATGTTGCTCAAGCAAGTGGCAAAACAAAACTAAAATGCATTTATGATGTAATTACTACATTTTCGTGTCAATCCATGACATGTTCATATTTACTGCAAACAATGTGCTGTTACTTTAAATCAGCGCTTGCAGCGCAGCAATAGAGTCGGTGCGGAAACGATCTCTGCTCTGCTGCAAACGCACCGCACCTGAACGCACTGCCGGACAGCAACCGTGTGCAGGGTGAACGCTTTAATCCGTTAACATGAGCGCGGAAAAAATACGCACCAC